GAGCCACTATGCCTGGGCCAAAATACTATGTATGTTTTTGTCAAATGTTTTCTAATATTTGGGAAGTAAAGTATCTTTACTGAACTGAAGTAAGGGGGAAAAAAAAAGGAGAAGAAATACTATCTGGCTGTTAAAAATGATGTAGATAAATAACTACTTTGAAAATGTTTGCAATATAAGTGAAAAACATTTTATATCATTTTAATTCACTCAGCAGATACCAAGGCCTACTAAGTGCTAGATAGGACAATGTTGTAGAAGCTAGACACAGAACAGAGGTGTCTACATGTGCACATATGAACATAACATATTTATGATTGTAAGTATGTTTATGTGTGCTTATATGTACATATAAACCTGAAAAAATTCTTAGGAACTAGATACTTGAAGTAAATAGTGGACTGACAATGGATTCCCCCTCATCTATATTTTAAATTATCTTGCAGTGAATGGTAACTGATTTTGTAGTAACAGTTTTTAATTTTAAAATAGTGAAGTGGCCTTAGCTTTTTATATGTAAAGAAAGAAAGTCTTCTTTCCCCTTTTCACGGGTCAGGTAATGTAAGCTGGCTTCTTAACGGCTACCAGCTCTGGGTCAACCAGGTCCCTAAAAGTTCCTTCATGTGGTCTCTCGGCTGGGTAAGACAGACGTTGTCCCCAGAGAAGCCGTGCGGTTCTGGCAGAAGTCACGGCGGCGCAGCAGGATCGCCGGGGGAACGTCCGCAGCCGTCTGCTGCCCAGGCATGCACGCCTGAGGAGCTCCCCAGGTGATCCGGGTCCCGCGGGGGACATCACCGCGCAGGGGGCCGGTCTGCACGGGGCGCGCGCAGTCTCAGCATCGCGCCGCGGCGGGGATGCGGGACGCCCACCCGGCCTGACCCGGTCCGGCCTCCTCGGCCTGGGCCAGGCAGCGGGTCAGCGGCCGGAGGTCGCTCGCAGGCCCGGGCCTGGCCTGCGCCGCGGTCCCCTCCCCGGCCCCCACAGGGCTCCAGGCGGCGCAGGGTTCCCCTTTACCTTCACCGCCCCAGCTCGTCCTTGCCGCAGCAAAAGCGAGGCCGCCATGGCAGTGACACCTGGACGCAACCGGCAAGGAAGCGGCCGCTGCGCACGCACCAGTGCCGTAGGCCCCTCCCTTTGGGCCGAGTTGACCAATCACAGGCTATCTGGGGCGGGGCAGAGGCCGCGGACGTGCGTGCGCATCCCCAGCCGGGCTCCCTGCGTGGCGCCTCGAGACCACGCCCCTGGGCCGGGGCCACCAATCAGAGGCAGGGGCAGAAGGGTCAGCCCCAGGCAGGTGCTGGCCTGGCCCTGCGCGGGCTGGTGTCCCCGCCGTGCCAGGCGCCGTGCGCGTTCTCGTTGGGGCGCGTGGACATCGCAAGTAGTTAGTTATCAGGCGATGCGCTCCTCCTCTGAGAGTCGCGGAATTCGCATCTGACCGCTTCTCGCTTTGCCTTTGTCGGCTCAGCCTTGAGTCTGAAATCCTCCCCGTGCGCAGAGCCGTACACACCAGGCCCTTAGCGCTCTGGCGCTCTTGTCTGGTGGGTTTTAAGGCTCCAGCTGCGGCGTCAGACCAGATCCTCACCCTGCAGCCAACGTGGCACCACCGTTCACTGCCCTTCCTGTATGGCTCGGGCTTGTTCTTGGTCTATGCCAACAGTAATACTACAGTTAGGCAGATTGGAAAGGGAGGGTTTATTTTACCTGAATGTTTATAACTTTCAGAGCAAACATCTTGCCCCCAAAGTTAGGCATAATTGTGGAGTAGGTGTAATTAGCTTTCAGCTTCTCTTCCTATTCATTCAAGCTCCCCTGCCCCCGCCCCCTAGTACCCGGTATTTCATCTGTTAACAGAAAAAAAAGCCAAACTCTGTAAAATAATTTTTTTCCCCCTGGAGACAGAGTCTCACTCTGTTGCCTGGGGTAGAGTGCCGTGGCATCAGCCTAGCTCACAGCAACCTTCAACTCCTGGGCTCAAGCGATCCTCCTGCCTCAGCCTCCCAAGTAGCTGGGACTACAGGCATGCGCCGCCATGCCTGGTTAATTTTTTCTATATATTTTTAGTTGTCCCATTAATTTCTTTCTATTTTTAGTAAAGACGGGGTCTTGCTCTTGCTCAAGCTGGTCTCGCAGTCCTAAGCTCAAACAATCCTCCCGCCTTGGCCTCCCAGAATGCTAGGATTACAGGCGTGAGCCACTGTGCTTGGCCTCTGTAAAATAATTTTAAAGAGATTTACAATGAGCCAAATTTGAGGATCATGATCTGGAGCCATGCCCAAGAAGCGCTGAGCAAATGGACTCTCTGTGGCTGTGTTACAGTTTGGTTTTATACATTTCAGGGAGATGGGGGTTACAGGTAAAGTCATAAATCAATACGTGGGAGGCATACATTGGTTTGGCCCCAAAAGGTGGGCCATCTCGAAGCCAAGCCGGGGTGGGGGGGGGAGGACACTTACAGGTTATAGGTGGGTTTAAAGATTCTTTGACTTGTAATTGGTTAAAGACATGAAGCTTTGTCTAAAGGCTTGCAATGTTTTAACACAAGGAGCTGTTTATCAGAGATATACCACCAGACATATACTTGTGTAAATTGAGGACCTGTGGGTTTGTCTTGCATACCCTTAGGCCTGTTAGTGGGTTACAAAGGATGTCCTCAAGAAGGGAGGGGGACATGATGAGGCATGTCTGACTTCCCTTCTCATGGTGGGCAATTTAGTTTTAGGATACTCCTTTGGCCATGAGGGGTCCATTCAGTCAGCTGGTGGGGGGGGTTGAGCCTTAAGATTTTATTTTATTTTATTTTAGTTCACACCTCCAACTTCCACAGGGAAAGAGGCCCTTCCACAATTTAAATTGACTGTGTAGAGATCCCTGACTCAGAGTTGGAGAGTCATTGAGAATGTAAACTAAACTGCTTCAGCCTCCTGAGTAGCTGGGATTACAAGTGTTTGCCAATACACCTGGATAATTTTTGTATTTTTAGTAGAGATGGGTGTCTCACTTTTGCTCAGGCTGGTCTCAAACTCTTGAGCTCAAGCAATCCTCCCGCCTCGGCCTCCCAGAATGCTAGGATTAAAGGCATGAGTCACCTTACCAGGCCAGAACACAGTAATTGGTCCCTCCCTGCATGAGGGTGTGCATTCAAAACACAAAGGTAGCTGCAATGTTCAATCTTGTCTATCACCCAGAAGTTTCATTAGTATTGTTGATTATTAGTAACATTATTTTGGACTGTTTTTTATTGGCAGAAAAAACCAAATAATTATCTTCGTCAGGAAATAAGACTTTGTTGGGAGTACAATTTTAAATAAATTATAAAAGACAAGTCATATACCTGATAAGGAATTTGTATCAAGAATATATAAGGCTGGGTGTGGTGGCTCATGCCTGTAATTCTAGCACTCTGGGAGGCTGAGGTGGGAGGATGGCTTTAGGCCAGGAGTTTAAGACCAGTCTGAGCAAGAGTGAGACCCCGTCTTTGCAAAAAATAGAAAAATTAGCCAGGCTGGTGGCTCACACCAGCTACTTGGGAGGCTAAGGTAAGAGAACTGCTTAAGCCCAGGAGTTTGAGGTTGCAGGAGCTATGCTAATGCCACTGCACTCTAGCCTGGGTGACAAGAGAGACACACTATCTCAAACACACACACACACACACACACACACACACACACACACACACAAACTGTTAGAACTCAATAGCAAAAAGACAAATAACCCAAGTATAAAATGGGCAAAGAATATCAATAGACATTTCTCCAAAGATATGCAAGTGGACAATAAACACATGGAAAGATTCTCAACATCATTAGTCATTATGGAAATGCAATCAAAGCCACAATGAGATACCACTTTGCCACCACTAGGATGGCTGGGATCAAAAAGACAGATAATGACAAGTGTTGGTGAGGATGTGGAGAAACCGGGCCCCTCATGTAGTGCTGGTGGGAATATTAAATGTTGCAGCTACTTGGGAAAACAATTTGGCAGTTCCCTAAAAGTTTACCTAAGTTACCATCTGACTCCACAATTCCATCCCTAGAGGAATGTGTGTAACAGCATTATTCATAATAGCCAAAGATAAATGTGGTATATCCATCCAATGGAATATTATTCAGCCGTAAAAAATGACGAAATACTGACACATGTTATAATGTGCATGAACCCTGAAAACATTATACTCAGTGACAGAAGCCAGTCTCAAAACATCACACACATTATATGATTCCACTTATATGAAATGCTCAGAATAGTGAAATCCACAGGACAGAAGGTAAATTAATAGGTGCCAGGGGTTTGAGAGGAGGGGGAAATGGGGAGTGACTGCTAATGGGCACAGCATTTCTTTTGTGGGTGATGAAAATGTTCTAAAATTGATTGCGGTGATGAGTGCACATTGTTTATATACTAAAAAACCACTGTCATGTACAAATTATCACAAACTAGGTGGATTAAAACAATAATAATTCATTCTCTCCCATTTCTGGAGGCCAGAGTCTGAGGTCAGGGTGTTGGCAGGGCCACACTCCTGGTGAAGGGTCTAGGGGAGAATTCTTCCTTGCCTTTCTCTTAGCTTCTGGTTCTGCCCACAGTCCCTGGCTTGTGGGCATGTAACTTCAATCTGTTTCCTTCTTCACATGGCCTTCTCCTGTGTCTTCTCCTTTATCATCTAAGAACACAAGTCATTGGATTTAGGGCCCACCCAAATTCAGGATTATCTCATTTTGAGATGCTTAACTCAATGACATTTGCAAAGACACTTTTCCCAAGTAAGGTCACATTCACGGGTTCCGGGGGTAGATATTTGGGGTACCATTTTTCAACCCATTACAACTACCATAAAATTGATGGGTCTCTGTTTTTGTTTTTATACACTTTAAAAAAAAAAAACTCAAGGACTTTGAAACAATGCTTACTTCCTGTCTTGCCAGTATGCCAAGATTTAAATGCCGAGTTTTTGCCCATTGTCCTATTATTCTAACTCAAGGATTCCCAGGTTCCTAATACCTTTCACTCAGGACAGGAGTAGAAATACAACACAAGAAACAATCCATGAGTTTCTCAATGGAAAAAGGAAGGTCCACACTCACTCTAGGCTTGTCTGGTAGATCAATTACAAAAATGGCCTTAATTTTCATAAGAGTGTGGATCCATATATAGGACTACCATGGAGGTGTGCATGCTATAGATATTTGGACGGCGAAGTGGGTGCTGCCATAACATGTGGCATTAGCTTTGGGACCAGAAGCCTGGAAAACCAGTGAAGACTGGAACAGTGGTGAGAAAACTATAGGAGGTGGACAAATAGTGACTGATACCGTGTTGTGAAGGATTTGGTAAAACTGCTGCCCTGCAGCAACGTGTACTAAAGAAAAAGGTAGCTACTAAACTCTTGGACTTGACCAAGTTCATCTCTTGGCATAACATTGAAATTACTCTGTTTCTTTTACCTGAATATATTAAGACACTATAGAAAAGAGATGTGCTAAAAAAAAAAAACAAACAAAAAAAACAACTGGCCAGTTTTGAAGCAGAATTTAGAGGACGTGCTGGATTGGGGGGGCACGGGATGCTCATCATCAGACGCTGTTGTTGGCAAAAAATTCTCAAAGTAAAAACTTGGGACAAATATCGAATTCAGGGTGGGGCCAGTAAAATACGGCCTCAAGAATGATGTTGAAGCCAAGGTGATTTTTATGATTTAAACGGTGCCTAGTACACTCCTTCAGCAATACATAAGGATTTCTTAAAAATCTTAAAGGAGAGGCTTGTCTCAAAAGACCAGTGGCGGTGGCTTCTGGGGTTGGAGTGCACTTGAATCAGATCGTGAGAAGGCCACAGAATATTTAAGGGAGTTGTACTGAACAAAGCCCGCCAGCTGGTGTAACGTGGACTGGACAGTTTAAAGGGAAAAAGAGCCTCTGGGCCCTCAATTTGCTAAAGGCAGGAAGTAGGTTGAGAAAGTTGCTCAAAGGACACAGTCTTCAAAACAGCAAAAAAGTGGTGAAAAAAGAAGGACACCCAAGACGGCAAACGCAAGAGTCCTGCTGACATACAGGCTGGGGAGATCCTGCCAGCACGCAGAATGCAGGGCCTAGTCAAGGACTGCTTCCAGGTGGATTTCAGCATCACTGTGGACCAGTGTCACTGTGTCTCCTGTTCTTCCTTTTTTTCGCAGACATGTTTATTGTGGTTACCGTTCCCTGTGTCACCACTATACACTGAGTGTGTAGGGTAGACAGTTCATCTTTCTAGTGGACGGGTATCTGGCTGGAGAGGAGCTGCATGGGAGAAGCCACCTCCGACCCTGAACAGACCAGGATAGCCTCGATTTTGAGCCTGATGTTGCGATCAGATGAGACTTTTGGGGGATCTTAGGAAGAACACTAGAAAATAACCACAGTTTGGATTGAAAAATATCACTTCCAGTTGGGAGACTTGGAGGGTAAGGAGTTTTTGGCGTGTCTAAGTGTAGAGGTTAAGTAGGCTCATTTCCAGCCACCCCAGCCCTGACCCCCTCCTGGACCTGCCATTCAATCAAACTCACTAATTTCTCGGAGGAACATTTACTGGGCACCAAGTAGGTGCCTGCTTTTGTCCACGGCGCGCCAGCTACAGCGGGAAGGAGATCCAGAGCCGGCCGTGCCCAGTCTGAGGGAAAAGACGAAAATGAGGCGAGCGCTTGCACTCGCGTGTGACGTGTGTTCCGGCGGATAAACTCGGTGAGCCGCCGAGCCAGTGCCACCAACGACCCCAGACGGCCCGGGAGAAAGACGACGCACAGCACCTTCTGCGCACGCGCAGGGACGGGCGCCGCGCCATCTCGCGGCGCCTGCGCGTGACGCCACAGCAGGCGCCGACCGGAAGGGGCCTGGGCTGGCGCACGTGGGTGGCGCCGCGGCTGGTGGGCGCATGGCGAGTTCCGCGGGGCTGGCGTTGTGCGGGCAGACGCTGGTGGTGCGGGGTGGCAGCCGATTCCTGGCCACCTCCACTGCGAGCAGGTGAGGCGGTCTGGGAGCGGGGAGCCCTGGTGACCCCCACTGCCCCGCGCCGCTGGGGCTGCTCCATCCTGGGGCGGCTGCTGGGGAGCCCTCCGCCTCCTCGCCCGGCCGCTCTCCGGGCGTGAAGCGTCTGCTTTCGGTGCCCCCTGCCCAATCCCTGGCGCGCCCCACACCACCTGCCCCGGGCCCTGGGCCCTGCGCCCTGGGTGTGGTTCTGCGGCGCTCTGCCCGGGTCGCGTCCTGACGCTTCCGGACTCTGCGGCTGCTGCGCTGGGGCCGCGTGGGCCTGGGCACGGGAGGCGAGGCTGGCCAGAAGCGCTTTGGGGCACGCGGAGAACCGGGGCCCCGAGTCTCCGCGGTGAGAGGGGCTCACCGTCGGCGCACTGTCACCGAGCTCCAAGCGCCTGCTTCCTCCGACACCTCCGCTCCTGAGGGTGCAGCTCCCTGGTAGCCCGTCACACCAATCTGCTTTTGCTTTCTGTAATTTCAATACCTTCCTTAGTTACCCCCAGTGCGAGGATAACGCCCGGAATTTTTAAGTCAGTAAATATTTGTTGATTGAATAATTTTGACCCAGGAACCTCGGGGGGAATTAGTAGTGGTCAGTTTCAGCCCCTTGTTTCCGTTCCCACGGTAGTGTTGATTTTTTCGTACTCGAAACAGGACGTGTCTGTCAAATGAACAGTATATTCTTTGAAACGTCTAGTTTCAGAAAGCCAATTTGATGTTAAATTTAGATCTCGAAAAAATCAGTTCGGAACCTGTCACGTATCCCAGATTATTTAGTTTCAGAGACTCAAGTGTAATACATGGCACAGTTGAGTCACTGGCGTATTAGTCTCAAAATACTTGCTTCAGTCTGCGCCTTTTGAGGAAATCTGGTGGCTGGCAACGCTTTGGACTTGGAAGACAAGTTCTCTTTCTACAGTCCTATGTTCCACGTAGACATTGTTTTGGTGCAATCACTGTAAAGACTATAAATATGTACAAGATACCTTCTATGTGACAGGGCGGGGCGGAATAAACCAAAGAGAGCTTAATCAGTGGGGAAGATGGGTAATTCCAGTGTAGGTAAGTGTGTGGGGATCATGGGAGCTTTTTTGGTAGGTGAGACATTTTTCTAAACAGGAAATGCCTATTTTAAATCTGTGCAAAATCCGACTGAAAACTGAACAATATCAGAACATAATTTCTTTTTTTTCTTTTCTTTTTTTTTTTTTTTTAAAAGAAAGAGACAGGGTCTTGTTCTGTCACCCAGGCTGGAGTGCAGTGGCATGATTGTAGCTCACTGCAACCTTGAACTCCTGGGCTCAAGTGGTCCTCCCACCTTAGCCTCCTGAGTAGCTAGGACTACAGGTGCGTGCCACCACACCTGGTAAATGTTTAATAATTTTCTGTAGAGACAGGGGTCTCACTATGTTGCTCAGGTTGGTCTCAAACTCCTGGCCTCAAGTAGTCCTCCCACCTTGGCTTTCCAAAGGCCAAGATGTGAGCCACCGCACCTGGCCCGTAATTTCTCATAACCGGGTTGCATTGATGTACTGGTGCCTGAAGGAATAGTATATTAATTCTGTGGAGTGTTTTTCCCCCGTTTGTTTTGCTGAACTAATTTTATTTGGACAGAAACATGCAGTTTATGTGTGATAGATTCAAATGGGAGATTAAGCAAATAAAGCTCCTGAAACTGTTCCCTGCATTATTGTGCCTAGATAACTTTCACGTCTTGGATAAGACCCCTAATTTAATGAATATGGAGATATATTTTGTTGGGGGGAAGTCAGTATTTTTATTAACAAAGTGCTCCTTTTGAAATCATTCTGTTATTTCTCTTTAGCGATGACAGCAGCCTCTTCGTCTATGACTGCAGTACTGCAGAGAAGAAGTCACAAGAAAATAAAGGGTGAGATGATGGGGAAGCTTTTGCAGGGCCTGAGTCATGCCTTGAATAATGGGACCAGAGAGCCTAAGAAGTATTAAATAATTGTTGTCTTACTTGCCTAATTCTTAATTTCTGTTACTCGACTGAGTGGTAATGACTAAGTACCACCTCAGGAAAGAAATGTGGAAGCAACTTCCAGATTAGGCATTAAGTGCACATTATTAGGACTTTTCTAAATACTTTTACTTTCTGTCGTTAATCAGCTCCTTTATTGCCTCCTTGAAATAATGGTGAACCTTTAAAATGCATTGGAGGCGGGTGTGGGAAATTAGCTTCAGCTCATTGAAAGATGAAAGAGTGTGTGATTTTCTGTGTGGTGGCTTTCTTTAGTATAACGGTCTGTGGCTCAGTTTGTTATATCATTATTATTTTTAATGTGCTTTTATCCCTACCTCTGGCCTCGGATTAATCCCTTTCCAGGAGGGGCGGGTCCTGTGCTCTCTGGGGGTCCTGCCAGCTCAGCTGTTTGGGTTCTGGCATGTGTGCTGAGCTTTTCTGTTCACTTACGTTTTACTTTTGTCAAATTAGAGCTGTTTTGACCCTCCCCATGTCCTCTTAATATTCTGGCCACATGAACCTCTTAACTCTTACCATTTTCTCCCTCTGCCCACGTTAGAATTACCAAGCTGGCCATTGCGGAATGCAGCCGTATTTCCTCGGCGCCTGATCGTTTTCCTGTTCTCTTTCTCAGGGAGGATGGGCCACCCTTCGTCCCGGGGAGCGGTGCGATTCTGGCATCCACCTTCTCTGAGTCTGGGCGCTATTTTGCTTTAACCGATGACAGTAAGCGTCTGATTCTTTTCCGTACAAAACCATGGCAATGTCTGAGTGTCAGGTATGAAATGCTAACGCTGGGTAATTAAGATATCATGTGCACTCCTTGTACTTGCATGCCTGTCCCGATAGTGACAGCAGTGATAAACACCAGTTAACGTACCAGACACCGTTTTCAGTGCTTTGTATTATTAACTGATTCTGTATTAACTGATCTGATATTCATCACAGTCCTGGGGTGGCAGGGGCGTTGTTCTCTCTCACATTTGGTGGCAAGGAGTTGGGTATCGGATCTCAGGTCAGCCAGCTTGGAACGGCAGAGCCGGGCCCCCTGGCTGGTCACTCTGGCTCCAGGGTCAGTGCCCCTGGCACCTGTGCTGTCGTGTATTCCAAAGTGTTGCTCTAGTCTTGTGATTAGCAGGAACAGGGTGTCAGCTCGCACTGTGTAGCTGCTGGGGTTTTAGATGGGTTAAGGCATCTGCACCATGGTTTTAGGCTGGGTGGGTTTAGTGCTCTTATCTCTAAGTGTCTGAGGGGTGGGTGGGGGGGTCGACACGGGCCAGCACACTGACACCCTGGGCCTCCCCGTCCCCTGTCGTGCAGCAGAGTCCTGTACGTGTTCTGCCTGCCTTACTGCGCTTCTGAGTGTTCTCCGTCACTTTCTGAAAGGGAGGGAACCCTGCGGTTTTGAGAAAGCTGCTGCCTTTTCTCACTGCCACCTCGTCCTGGCGAGAGGAGGTGGTGACGCTGTGGGACACAGTGTTGGGCAGATTTGCATTTTTGTTGGCTCTGACGGTCTCCTAATATGCATGTTTTCAATTTCCTTAATAGGGTGAGGGCTACAGTCATTCCGATCATTTTGTGACATTGATGTAAACTCACATACATGAGCAGAATCAGCCCTGGGCCCCTCACCCTTGTGTCCCTGAAGCTGTGTGGCGTAACGTCCAGTGGTTCTCAGAGATAAACACTGAGGTCACAGTGTTTGAACTGCCAAGCTCACGGAATTTCCCATATTGAGTTCGGCTAAGGTTTTTAGATTTTTATTTCATCTTATTTTCTAAGAGAAGAATAAAAAGCCAAATTCTAGGTGGCATCAAAAGCAAGGAATACCCATTCTGTCCTCTGTTCCAGTCAGGTTAAAATAAAGCCCTGAAACATGGCATTGTTTTTTTCTTTTTTTTTTCCCCCTGTTAGAGGCAAGGTCTCGCTCTCTCCCAGGCAGGAGGTGGTGGCATCATCATAGCTCACTGCACCCTGGCCTTACCCAGTCCTCCCACCTCAGCCTCCTGAGTAGCTGGGACTGCAGATGTACGCCACCACACCCGGCTAATTAAAAAAATTTTTTTTAATGTTCTTCTTTCCTGAGATGGATAACTTTAAAATTGTTTATAGAGACAGGGTCTCACTGCATTGCCCAGGCTGGTCTTGGACTCCTTGTGTCAAGCGATCCTCCCATCTCAGCTTCCCAAAGTGCTGGGATTACAGGTGTGAGCCTCTGCACCTGACCTGCGTTGTTCTTATTACATATGTGTTTTTGTATATCAGATAAGTAACAGATGCACATGGTTAAAAAACTTAAAACGCAACAAAATTAAACAAGAGACTATGCAGTAATGCATCAGTCTCCCACCATGCACCCTCTTGCTCCCCTCCCACGGCAGTGATGGCTTACCAGTAGGAAGATAACTTATAAATGTGTGCTGCCATGTGTCCAAGTTATAGTTGATATTACATGGCTGCTTCCAGCTAACCGCTGTGAACTCACATTGGCCTTATCTTGAAAGGCCTGTAGATAGCGTCCTCTTGCCAGGATAGCCGCAACATTAATAAGTTGTTTAGAACATAGAAGGTGTAAGTGTTCTTGAGGTCAGGCTGAAGTCCTCATGGTGGCTTTGAGGTGTCCAGACCTGAGCCCCTCCCACAGGGATCGCTGCAGGTACAGCAGCTTTCTGGTAGTTTGGCCTTGGCTTTGGGTTTCCTTTTTTTTGAGACGGAGTCTCACTCTGTTGCCTGGGCTAGAGTGCCGTGGCGTCAGCTTAGCTCACAGCAACCTCAAAATCCTGGGCTCAAGTGATCCTCCTGCCTCAGCCTCCTGAGTAGCTGGGACTACAGACATGCGCCACCATGCCTGGCTAATTTTTGCTATATATTTTTAGTTGTCCATCTAATTTTCTATTTTTAGTAGAGATGGGGTCTTGCTCTTGCTCAGGCTGGTCTTGAACTCCTGAGCTCCAATGATCCACTCACCTCAGCCTCCCAGACTGCTAGGGTTACAGGCATGAGCCACCGTGCCCAACCAGCTTTGGGTTTCTTGGGGACAACTTGTGGGAAGGAGGGAGGGATGGATTTTTCACCTCTCAGAGATTAAAGAAGATACCACAGACTAGGGGACTTAAACAACAGGTTAATTTTCTCAAAGTTCTAGAGGCTGGCAGTCCATGATCAAGGTGTTGGTAGGACAGGGTTGGTTTCCTCTGGGGCCTCTCTCCTAGGCTTGCAGATGGCCACCTTCTCTGTGTCCTCACATGGTCTCCCCTCTGTGTGTGCCTGTGTCCTCATTTCCTCCTTCTATTTATTTATTTTTTTGTTGAGACAGGGTCTTGCTGTGATGCTCAGGTTGGTTTTGAACTCTTGGCCTCAAGCAATCCTCCCGCACTGGCCTCCCAGTGTTGCGATTACAGGCAGGAGCCACCGTGCCTGGTCTTCACCTCCTCCTCTTGTAAAGACACCAGTGAGTGAGATTGGATTAGGGCCCACCCATGTGACCTCCCTATCACCTCTGTGGAGGTCACATTCTGAGGTACTGGGTAGATCCAGGGCTTCAATGTATGAGTTTTTGGGGATACAGTTCAGCACATAACGGTTATGCTTGCTTTTCTGATGCCAGCTGCTGTCCGGAGCCTCCATAATTAACGTTAGATTCTTAAAGAGGGCTTTGGCTCCCAAAAATTAAAAATCAAATGATCTGAAGGTATCCAATGGTGATTCCTTTGCTGAAGTAAAGGCTCTGGTCAAGCTCCGACACAGACACATGCACAAGAGCTTCTTGGGTATATCTTGTGAAGGTGCAGATGCTGATCATTTGGCCTGGTTGGGGCCATATGTTTTGTGATTTTTTTTTTTTTTCCTGAGACAGAGTCTTGGCCTGTCACCCCGGCTAGAGTGCAGTGGCATCATCATAGCTCACTGCAACCTCAAACTCCTGGGCTCAAGCGATCCTCCTGCCTCAGCCTCCTGAGTAGCTGGGGCTATAGGCACGTGCCACTGCACTCATCTAATTTTCTATTTTTAGTAGAGATGGGGGTCTTGCTCTTGCTCAGGCTGGTCTGGAACTTCTGACCTCAAGCGATCCTCCTGCCTCAGCCTCCTAGAGTGCTAGGATTACGGCACGAGCCGCCATGCCTGGCCTCTGTTCTGTGATTTGGACGAGCTCCCAGGTGCTTCCAATGCCGCTGGGCTGTGGCCTGCCCTCCGAGCAGCGGGATGTAATAGAGCTCAGATTGCCCTCTGACCCACTCCCTCGTTAGAGCTCGTGAATCTACGGCGGGTCACCCACATTAGGGAAGGGACCTGAGCAGTGATCAGAGGACGGGGTGTTTTGCCTGGGTCAGAGGAGACCTGGGTGTCTTCTAGGACTGAAGGATTGTGTTGGAAGGAGAATTAAACTGCGGCTGTTGAGGCTTCTAAAGGCACATCTGGAGGGATGGATGGAAAGGAAGGGAGGCAGACGTCAGCACAGGTTGCCGCCTTGGTGAAGAGTTAGAATCCAGAGAGGTGATGTGGCTGCGTGGGGTCCCATCGTGTGCATCTACAGCAGTTTTCTTAACTGTCCCTCTGTTGATGGTGGATGTTTTTCACTTGCAGTTTGCTGTCTTGATTTTTCAAAATGTGCTTCAGTGAATAATCATACCCGGTAACAATATGTGGTTATTGCCACCCTCGAAACCTCTTGGCAGATTCCTCAGTACTTTTTTTTTAAAATTCCATTAGAATTTTAGGTTTGTGAATTTTCCAGCATTGAGTGGAGTGAAATCTTTACTTTTTCTCTAATGGGAAGTCAGAGATTTTTCTGGTTAGAGGAGTAGATTTTGGGGACAAGAGTGGGGAAGGGAAGGAGAGTAGGGAGAGGTTTATCCATCAGGACAGCAGGAGCTGCTTGGTGGAAAGGACAGGAGGTGATTGGAACCAGGCCTGGGGCTGGTCCAGTTACAGTTGGTTGGGGGGGCGCGATGCTCCCCTAACTGGTGGCCTTTTACTCATTGGGGCATAGACCCTTTTGGGTCTGATGGACCCTCTCCCTAGGAAAATGCCCGCCCTTTACACATCTGACACGCATACTCGTTTATCTACTTTTGACCGAGGCCCTGCGCCCCTGCGGGACTCACTGGAGCTGGGACGAGCCACTGCACTCTGTCCAGTGGTCTCTTTGTTGCTGGGCTGCTGCTTTCAAACTTAATGTTGGAGGGTTTTGAGGCACAGCCAAGAGGGAAATTGTGAGCGACAACCATTCCTTTCCAGGTAGCAGTTTAGAATGGCAAAGGGCCAGAGGACCTGGGCAGGTCAGGAGACTCTTTTCTGGCCCACGGAACCGAGGCCAGGTTTTCTGAACCAAAGATGAGGACACAGGGTGACGAATGATACTTGCAGTTTTGACCCGTGCATTTGTACATGAGAAATCGTAGCGGTGAAGTCATGGCGTTTCAGAAGACGCCTGTGTGAGAATAGTAGCAGCACATGGAGCAGGCAGAGCCCTGCGAGATCAGATGCGGCCTGTGCTGCCGCAGCGGTCTGGCTGCTGGACGTGCGGGTCTCGGGAGCTTGGGCTGCAGCGGGCGTCGGCACTTGGAATCCTCGCTGCCCTCGTAGTAAAATGTGTGTAAGACACTGACTTTACTCCAGTTCTTTGCGTTACCTTTATTTTTCGGGCACCGTCTCCGGCAGCTGGAGAAGAGCGTGCGGCACAGGCCATAGAGCCGCGGCCGCGGGGGTCGAAGGGTCAGGCCCACGGAAACTAACCGGCAGTGTCTCTGGGCTTCCAGGGCCGTGGTGAGGAGGTGTACGGCCCTGACCTTCACCGCCTCCGAGGAGAAGGTCTTGGTGGCCGACAAGTCTGGAGACGTGTACTCCTTTTCGGTGTCGGAGCCACACGGGTGTGGCCGTCTTGAACTCGGGCACCTGTCTATGCTGCTGGACGTGGTAAGTGGGGATGCGCTGGATTCATGTCTGCTCCAGGCACGGTGGTCGGCGCGTCTGCGAGGAGAGGCCTGAGTCTGTGCACCCGAGCCTCTGGGGAGCCCTTGCGACAGCCCTCTGCATACCAGGGAGCAGAGGAGCAACGGGAATGGGATTAGGAAGGTGAAGCAGCCAGCAGGGTAGACAAAGGCTACGGTTCCAGCTGTGAGGAGCTGCTCTAGTCGAGCCCTGGGTGACCCCAGGTCAGGGGCCTTAGTGGAGGGAGGTGGGAGGGGCAGGCGTGCCATGTCCTTCACGGATGTCACTCGATATTCCTCCCAGCAGCCCTGGCCCACGTATCCCAGGCCCCTGGGGCCCAGAGCTCAGTGAGGCCGCGGCCCACAGCTGGGGCTGGAACTGGGTCAACCCACACGGGACAGAGAGCAACATGGGGTGGGGTATGAAGGGAACCTGCTGGACGCGGCGACTTGGGGAAGGAGGGAGGGGAAGGCGACCTGGGGCACTGGAGACAGGAGGGAGCAGCGGGCTGTGGCGGTTGGAAGGAGGAGTTGGGTGCGAGGGTGCGGGGCGGAGGGAACGGGATGGGCAGATGCGGCTCTGACCTCCCCATGGGAACCTGGCCCAGCGTGGAGGAGCGAGGGCTGACCCTCCTGGCCGGGGAGCTGCCCAGAGAGGGAGGAGGGCCAGTGGTTAGGCAGCCTCCTCACTGGAGAAAATCGAGGTGTTTCCATGGTGCCACGTGAGCAAACAACCAGCTCTTGCTCCTCTAACCCTTCTGACATAGGCTGTGAGTCCCGACGACAGCTTCATCCTCACTGCTGACCGGGACGAGAAGATCCGGGTGAGCTGGGCGGCGGCACCCCACAGCATCGAGTCCTTCTGCCTGGGGCACACAGAGTGAGTGCACCCCTTCCTGTCCCCTCCAGCACAGAGGCTTGGGTTTCAGACAGATGCAGGCAGAGCCGTGGTGCTGGGAGCTGGTGGCGCACTGGCAGGCACCTTTTGCTGAAGGGACCTGGTTCTTCTCCCGCGGGCCCCACATCAAGTGCCTCCATAGCTGGAGAGGCCCCTGCTCGGGCGAGACCAGCCCCCGTGCTTGGGCCCCGCAGACCCGTTGGTTTGTGGCCTGCAGAGGCCTGGTGAGAGCGGAGCTCACTCTGAGCGTTGCCTCCTGTCTGTCCTTCCTCGCTGGCAAGTGCCACGTTGGCCTCCTGACCAGGGTGTGTTTCTGGAAAACATTCTCAGCATGAAGGTCTCTGGGCAGTGCCTGGTGGTTGTGAGTGGTTAGTAGGCGGATGTGCTGGGGGACGGGGAGCACACTCTGAACCCAGCCTCTGAGCCCCGCGACTCTGTCTCGTGGCAAAGGAGCTCTCGGTCGGGAGCTGGGTTCCACGTGCGTGGGAGGCGTCCTGGAGTCCCTTCTGGAGTTGCCTTCTCAGGCACAGGGCGGAGCAGAATTGTGCAAAGGAAAAGTGCTTAGTTTATTTATTGGCTAAAATGTTTTAAAATACATTATTTGAGGCAGTGGGAGAAATTGGAGGGATTCAGTTCAATCTTCAATTCTGAGATCGCTCGTGTTTTCTTGATGTTTGAATGGAACACAGAAGTTCGACCTCTAAGAAGGCCAGTGGCCACTCAGTTTGTGTAATACCTCGTGGTAGCTTGTTTTGACTTTTCTTTAATTCTGCAGCTCTGGGGTTCTTACGACCTGCCAGCCCCCGGGCCCTCTCCCCTCTGCTGTGTCTCTCTTGGGTCTTTGCAGCTCCCTGACCCCGCTGGGCACATGCTCCTGTCTCAGGGCCTTTGCACATGCTGTGTCTGCTGCCAGGAGCGCTCTTCCCCACAAGGCTCCTCACTTGTGCTTTCCGCTCGGTGCTGCCGCTTCCTCAGGGGTCTCCCTAATCCCCCCCTCGGGAAATGCCCCATCACTTGGATGTATTGAGTTCCATAAAAACATAACGTTAAAATCAACTTTACTTGTTGTTACTTAGTTTTTTAACATGGTGGCTCGTGAATTTATAATGACATCCATGGCTCCCATTTGTGGCTGGAATTGTATTTCTGCCAGACAGCGCTGGTCTGAGCCCTTTGCCGACACTTAACTATCTGTTCTTTGCCCGTAGCGTCCTGGTGGTTTTGTTGGTCAGCTTTGTTCATTGCTGTCTCCAGTCCTCAGCACAGGGCCTGGTGTGGAGTAGGTGC